GATGTTCAGTTGGAGTGTCTACGATGCTTTCAGCAAGAAGAAACTCTAGAGCATCTTTGTTTCAAGTGTTCAATCTCAAGAAGGGTATGGAGGGGTTCACAGCTTGGCTTTGATTTTGATAATGGTGGGCCTTTAACGGTGAAAGATTGGTTGCCTAAATGATTTCCGAGTGCACCAGATGATAGGGCTATTTTGGAATTTGCAAAAGTATTTGGGGTATCTGGATTTTTTGAAATAGGGCAAATTTGATCACGTTAATGTTGATCCTATGGAAGTGCTTCGGTTCATAGGAGAATGGAGTGGCCTGTTGGGGATTCTCAATCTGCAACTCATCTTAATCAACAAGATGATCTTCCAAATTCGAGACATGCCACAGATTCACGACAATTCGTCATTACTAATAATTCTTCATGGTGCCCTCGTATGTGTTTTGACAGGTTGCTCATAGATGATGCTTGGCAGAAGCACTCCTTTAAAGGAGGAGCTGCATTGGTGGGCATGGATCACTTCGGTCAACAAATTATTACAAATCATCTTTCCTTTAATGCACCTGTAGCAATTTTTGTGAAAGCTCGAGCATGCTTGGAAGCTCTCAGATGGTGTACTAAACATGGGGTGAAATCTATCAAGATCTTCACTGATAGTCAGGAGTTAGTTAGGCAACTCCATCAAGGCCATTTGATTGATTGGGATATTTTTAATGTATTAGTGGATATCAATATATGTACTGGGTTTGATTATGTGGGCGTTTGGGAAGTTGTTATTTTAGTGGGCTAATTTAGGAAGTTAAAATTTGTGTTTAGGAAGATAATTGAATTTTTTTTGTAGTTGAATGTGATGTTTGTGAGAGAAAAAATAAAATGACTATGAGTTTAATGTAACATTTTGTCTTATTGGCTATTTTAGGCCTTGTTTGGGATAAACTAAAAAAGCTAAAAAATCAAAAAGTTATTATCTTATTTAAGTCACGTTATCTTATTTCACATCACCTCTCTACCACATCACTTCAAACCCAATTCATATTCAACTCATATTTCTTAAAAAGTCAAAAAGTACATTTATCATCCCAAACAACCCCTTAGTCAATTTTGTCTTTTAGTGCTATTTTAGCCAAAAAAACTAAAAACTTTCTTTCCAAACACCTCCTATGTATCTGTAGGGATGACAATGGATAACATACCTTGTGGGTATCCATGGAGACCCAACCCAAATACATAGGCTTTTCCTTTTTTTTTCTTGTCCGTCGGATAGGATAAGTGATGTTCTTTAAGTTTTCACTCGGGATGGGACGGAGATGGGTACCTACTAATTTTCCCATATATATATATATATATATATATTGGTACATCGGAGCGAGGATGGGTACCTACTAATTTTTCCATATATATATATATATATATTTAGGTACATCGGAAAATAATTTCTCCATATGTTTTCACTAGGGATGGCAATAGTGGGTTAATGGGGTGGATATTAATTCCCGTCCCCATTCCCCTATAATTATTTTTCCCCATTCCCAATTCTCCATAGATACTACCTTCCTCATCTCCTAATGTGTTTGGATTTTCTCTAACCTAACTTGACATTTTTTTTATTTATTATTATTTTATTATTTTTTAAGATTCACAACCAAAGCTAAATATACATTTAATCTTATTTTATTTTATTTGGCTCAACAACAAAATCAAATACATATTAATTAACATTGTTACATTATTCTTGTCAAATTTAATGTATATTTAGAATTTTTTAAATTTATTTAGAAAAATTCTATTCTGACAAAAAAAATTCCTCTTATTTTTTATTTTTATTTTTTTTAAAATTTTATGCATCTCCTTCTCTTTATTAATTGATCTTCGATAATCTGAATGTGAGTTGCTTTCGTTTCCATCTTCTTTTCTTTTTTTCTTTTTTTTTTTTAAATTTGTATTTGCATTTGTAGAATGAATTTTCTTATTTCAATATCTCCTGTAACTATTTTATTGGATTTCTCTTTGATTTGATAGTAACCTTAGATTGAATTTTCTAATTTTCATCTTAACCAGTGATCACCTTAATTGAAAATTTGTACATTTTTTTCTTCAATTTCTATGTTTTGGTTATGATTAGTTACGCGTTTTTGATCGATAGTCTTAATCTTGTCATCGCTAGATTATCGCCATCGCAAATCACCATTGCTGTAGTGAGAGGATGAGGGAGAGTAAGAATTAGAACTCTAATTGTAAATAGAGTAGTGAAAACATATGGAGAAATTATTTTTCGATGTACTTAAAAAAAAATGGGAAAATTAGTGAGTACCCATCCTTGGTGGAGATTTAAAGAACATCACTTACCCTACTCGACGGACAAGAAAAAAGGAGAAAACTCATGTATTTGGATTGGGTCTCCATGGATATCCACAGGGTAAGTTATCTATTGACATCTCTAATTTTAGGTGGTCAGGTTGTGCTTCACGAATTGAAATTTGTATATTTATTACCCGACCAAAATTTGACTTTTTGAGATTACTAGACTCACATCTATTAACTCGTTGCATTGAAACCACCCATTTAAGGTCCGGTCGAGTTGGAATAAGTTGGGCCAGTTGATTGAATGTTTGCCTAGGCTGAGTAGTAAAGCATTTAAATTACTTAAAAAGAAATTGTTAAAGACATTATATATGATTGTTGTTAATGTTAAAAAAAATGTACTGAAATATAAAAAATAAAAATAAAAATGAATATTTTGGCATATGCTAAAAAGATATTAGATTATAAAGATTTGGACATTATGTGGTTGTCATTAGCATGACCTTACTTAAAAAGACTAACATAATTCTGTTAGTCTGTCATCCAATTAGCTAGAAACAGTTGCAAGTTGGGGGAACCACCCTTACATTCACAACGTGTGCTTGTTATTGTAAGCATAAACAGCGTGCTCTAGCCCAAGTTGGGTTAACCCTTCCTCACCAGTTGACCACGATGGTCTGGTCAGGTTGGGAAAGGGCCCAATTTTCTTATTTCAATATCTCCTGCAATTATTTTATTGGATTTCTCTTTGATTTGATAGTAACCTTAGATTGAATTTTCTAATTTTCATCTTAACTAGTGATTACCTTAATTGAAAATTTGTACATTTTTTTCTTCAATTTCTATGTTTTGGTTATAATTAATTGTGTGTTTTTGATCGATAGTCTTAATCTTGTCATCGCTAGATTATCGCCATCGCAAATCACCGTTGTTGTAGTGAGAGGATGATTGAGAATACGAATTAAAACTCTAATTGTAAATAGAGTAGTGAAAACATATGGAGAAATTATTTTTCGATGTACTTAAAAAAAAATAGGGAAAATTAGTGGGTACCCATCCTTGGTGGAGATTTAAAGAACATCACTTACCCTACTCGACGGACAAGAAAAAAGGAGAAAACTCATGTATTTGGGTTGGGTCATCATAGATATCTAAATGGTAGGCTATCCATTGCCATCCCTAGTTTTCACTACTCTGTTTACAATTAGAGTTCTAATTCTCACTCTTTCTCATCCTCTCACTACAGCATTGTCAATTTGCGATGGCGACAATCTAGCGATGACAAGATTGTGAATATTGATTAAAAACGCACAATTAATCATAACCAAAACATGAAAATTAAAGACAAAAATGTACAAAATTTCAATTAAGGCGATCACCGGTTAAGATGAAAATTGGGAAATTCAATCTAACGGTACCATCAAATTAGAGAGAAATCAATAAAACAATTGTAGGAGATATTGAAACAAGAAAATTCATTTAATAAATGCAAATAAATTTTTTTTTTTTTTTTAAAGTAGAAGAAGAAGAAGATGGAAATGAGAATAACAACTCACCTTACATTATCGAAAATCAATTAATAGAGAGGATAATGAGATACATAAAATTAAAAAAAAAATTAAAAAAGTTGGAATTTTTTTGTAGGAATAGAAATTTTCTAAATAATTTAAAAAATTCTAAATATATTAAAATTTGACAAAAATAATGTGACAATGTTAATATATGTGTATTTGATTTTGTTGTTGAGCCAGATAAAATAAAATAAGATTGGCCTCGTTTGAGAATAGGCTATTTTAGTAATTTTTTGACTTTTTGACTAAAATATGAGATGACAAAAAATTAGTATATTTGGGGTGATTCTTTGATTTTTTACGAAAAGATGTGCAAAAAGTAGAGAGAAAAGAGAATCTTTGACTTTTTTGTATAAGTTATAGGCTTTTTGGCTTTTTTAGTAACTTTTTAATTTTTTGACTAAAATGTTAATTTGCTAAACGAGGCTTGAATGTATATTTAGTTTTGATTGTGAATTTTTTTTAAAAAAGTAAAAAATGGTCAAGTTGGGTTGGAGAAAATTCAAACCCATTAGGAAATAGGTAGAGTAATATCCATAGGGAATGGGGAATGAAAAAAATAATTATAGAAAAATAGAGATGAAAAATTAATATCCACTCCATTAACCACCATTGTCATCCCTAGTGCATGCCGCTCATGTAGCGGCAAAAACAGCTTTAGGTAGCTGCTAATTTTGTTCTTTCTATACCTGAACTATGCATTTATTTTCTATTCAAATATATATATATATATCTATGGTATATACTTCAAAAAAAAAAAAAAAAAAAAAAAAAAAAAAAAAAAAAAAAACGGACACCTTTAAATAATGAAAAATGAGTCAGACCCCCTTTGTGGAGGACCCCACAACCCCTTTACTGATCTACACCATTCATGATATGTGGGGCCTATTCACGTATGTGTGGGGTCCACATTATGAATGGTGTGGATCACAAAGGGGGTTGTGGAGTCCTCCACAAAAGGGGTCTCTATCATTGCTGTTAAATAATAAGATAATCTAAAAGTCAAAATTGTTGACTAAAGCATTGTAGGTCCGTTGGCTAGCCTAGTAAGACCGCACATCATAAGTCAACTCCCAAGTCCACACATGTGGCCGCATTACAGAATCAATAAACACACATTTAATTTTTTGGAAGATTTTTGTTACCTGTTTTAATCCTTGCCCCCAAGCCTCCTAAGGCTGTATATACTCTCTCCTCTCCTCCTTTTTCTGGCACACCAAAAGCAAAACAAATCACAGCAAACAACTTCTAAGCATTTTGGCCTCCATCTTTGCCAAGTTCTCACGTTTTCTTCGGTTTGACTTTATAAACCAGCGGTTGGTTCTTTATTATCTACTGTTTTTATATATTATAATCATGATTTTTGTTTTGGATAATGGTTAGACATAGTTCATGCATAATCCATGGCATTACAGTAGTTTTTCATAGTATCTTATTACTTTTGTCACTTTTTGCCTACTGTAAGATTATTTTAAGATTCATAACTTGCGTTGTTGCGTTTTCTTCGGTTTGACCTTATAAACTAGCGGTTGGTTGTTTATTGTTTTCATTTATTATAATCGTGATTTTTGTTTTTGATAATAGTTAGACATAGTTCATGCATAATCCATGACATTAGAGTACTTTTTCATTGTATTTTATTACTTTTGTCACTTTTTGCCTATTGTAAGATTATTTTAGGATTCATAACTTGCATATCGTACATATAAGTCTGGTATATTCATTGTTCATCCATGTATATCGCTGCGTTTTTTCTGTTTTTAGATGCTTTATGAATTCAATCCATGAATTTATTGCATATACATCATATTAGTGTCTTTCGGATCTTTGGAGTTTCATATTATGATGTTTAAATTAGTTGTTACAGCATCTACAATTATGCATATTAGATGAATATTTTTCTTTTTCTTTCATTTGCTTGAGCGTTCTTGCATATTCTTCATCATTGCCATATCTCCATGATTTAATTGCTATATGTGATATATTTGATATAACTGCATGTTTGGAGGTCGTATCATTTCAATTAAGATATTTCCTATTTTTGTTTCTTTAAGGAAGACTTTCTTTCTCTCTTTGCGGGAAGATTTTCCCAAATCAAAATTTTCCAAATATGCAAATATTCAAATTAGAATGATATGATCTATATTATGTGTTTCACATAGATGGTAAATTTAGTTTAAAAGATTATGTAAAATTAAAGAATAATGCTTGGGACCCCCTTTTGGGGGTCACCCCCTCACCCCCCTTTGCCACGTGGCCGGTGGTGATTGGAGGAGCAGGAAAAAAAAAGAAAAAGAAAAAGAAAATGTAACCAATGAGAGTGAGAGAGGGTCAAAGGGGGTGGGAGGAAAATGGGGGATGAATCATTGTTGAAAATTAAATAGAGTATGTGAAATTAAATAAGAAAATAAATCGCATTCAAAGAAATTAATAGAGACCAATCTTAAAGACTTGGCAAGAAAGGTGCTCTAGTTCACACTCACTATAATCAACAAAGATACCACTTCTTTTGAAAGAACTTGCTTCTTTGTCTTTTCCTCTTTCTATAATCTACTTTTAGTTTACGATCGCCTCCTGTGATATTTGAATCGGTTCTCCAGCAATGTCTTTGAATTCTGCTGATTCAGAGATTTCATTGGAAACTGGCATGTCTTAAATCATAAACCCTAAGCCCAATGACCTTCTCCTTTAGTGCGTAAACTCCCAAATTAAGATTTTTCGTTGTGACGAATTAGTGCACTAAATTAACATGGAGTTTAGGGCTGAGCAAGGAATCCGTGAAATCCGTAATCCGATCCAGTCCAGTCCAATCCGATAGGTTTGGATTGGTTTTTTGAATCCGCGGTTTGGTTCCGGATTGAAGAATTAAAAATCCGTAGTTCATAAGATATTTCCTATTTTTGTTTCTTTAAGGAAGACTTTCTTTCTCTCTTTGTGGGAAGATTTTCCCAAATCAAAATTTTCCAAATATGCAAATATTCAAATTAGAATGATATGATCTATATTACGTGTTTCACATAGATGGTTAATTTAGTTTAAAAGATTATGTAAAATTAAACAATAATGTTTGGGACCCCCTTTTGGAGGTCACCCCCTCACCCCCCTTTGCCACGTGGCAGGTGGTGATTGGAGGAGCAGGAAAAAAAAAGAAAAAGAAAAAGAAAATGTAACCAATGAGAGTGAGAGGGGGTCAAAGGGGGTGGGAGGAAAATGGGGGATGAATCATTGTTGAAAATTAAATAGAGTATGTGAAATTAAATAAGGAAATAAATCGCATTCAAAGAAATTAATAGAGACCAATCTTAAAGACTTGGCAAGAAAGGTGCTCTAGTTCACACTCACTATAATCAACAAAGATACCACTTCTTTTGAAAGAACTTGCTTCTTTGTCTTTTCCTCTTTCTATAATCTACTTTTAGTTTACGATCGCCTCCTGTGATATTTGAATCGGTTCTCCAGCAATGTCTTTGAATTCTGCTGATTCAGAGATTTCATTAGAAACTGGCATGTCTTAAATCATAAACCCTAAGCCCAATGACCTTCTCCTTTAGCGCGTAAACTCCCAAATTAAGATTTTTCATTGTGACGAATTAGTGCACTAAATTAACATGGAGTTACGGTTTCCTAGTTTTTCTTAAAAGTTAAGTGGCAACTCCAACCTTCTGTGAATACTCTGTTTGGCAATTTTTGGGCTAAATTGAATTGTGATAATATTCCGGTATATTGTCAATTTAGACATCGATGATTCATATAGTTAAAAGGGTCAAATTCGACGTGTGTGAGTGAACCAAAGGGTGATATCCACAATGAAAATTTTGATAAAATGGATTATTCGAATTATCGAAATACAACTCATAGTAAACCCCACGGATTCAAATTACTTCCTCCAATTTATATTATGGACAGAGAATGCACCTTAAAAAGAGAAAATCAATAGAAAAGCAATAATATTATTTTCTTTTATTTTCTTTTTATTTTTACTTTTTTATTTTTTGCGTAATTGCTTAACCACCGACCAATCCTACTTTTCCCTCCTTTTGACCCTTTGGGACATAAAAAAAGTTATTTAAACTTAATATACACAAATAACTACAGAGACATTTCGTGATTTGGTCGGTTGTAAAAAATTGCGAATTCATGGGCTATGCTTTTTGTCTTATTGATTGTCCATGATATTTCACTGACAACCAGGACTGATCTATGTAAAAATGTATGTAATTTTTTATTGAATAATATTACTATTAATCGGACATTTTTTTATCAACTTAATTGAAAACAAAAATATAATTGAACATATTTCTTGTCTGCATTAACTTGACAAAATATTAATTATTAATATGTCTCCGTTTAGTAAAGTTAACTATTTGAAAATATTGTAATCGACACTTTTTATAATATATATATATAAAAGCATCAATGATAAATTTGATATCAAAATCTTGATTAATATTTTTCTCAATAAATATGATCAAGTAACTTACTACAAAATCATCTTTCATCTTATTACGTAATTTAGTTTTGAAAAAAAAAATTATAATTGAAAATGTATGTTTTTATGAGTATAATGGTAATTTGTTTCAATAAACGGTATTAAATTTTATTAACTTATTTTAAGAGTGTCATGTTGAAGTAGACAATATTTTTATTTTTAGACAATATTACTATTTCTAGATAATGAACAGATAAGAATGAATGTAAAATAAGATGTATAAGCAAATTAAATTGAATGGATGTGTTAATGGATGTATAATGTTGGTGGGATCATGCGCACATTAAATCGGTGGAGCATCACTTGTGTTGGTGGGTTGATTGTGTCAGACATTGCAGGTGTGGAACCCTAATTTTTTTGGGGGTAGCGTTGCTATCGTTGTGAACCTCTGCATTGTGTCTGGTGGAACCGGAAGAAGTTTGGACGTACGGGTGGACAATGTCTGGGAAACGTAAGTATTTCTTTATTTCGTTACATAGTGTTTATTTGTGCATGCTATTGTATTGAGTTTGATTTGATGAGGTGTGAAGTGATTTATGTTTGATGTGTCTGTGTGACTTTCAATGTGAAATTGTGGTTGGATTTATATTTGGGAAGGGGGGTTTGTACGAAAAAATGAAGTGAGTGTGGGGGACAACGCGTGGGAGGTTGGGGCTCGATTTGGGGTTTCGATTGCTAGGATGTGGGATTGGGTTTATTTGTTGTTGGCCTGTTGATTTGAGGTCGTATGTGTTGTGTGGGGCTGTATGTTCAATGTGATGCGGTGGGGTTGTGGGGTAAGGGCGTGATGTAATTGGTTTTTGTTGCATGTGGTTGGTCGTGTGACTGTGCGGAAGTGTTCGTACGTGGATTGTTTACGGTGTGTGTTTGAGCATATTATACTGATTTTTTTATGGTGAGTTGTTGTCGTTTCAGTGGTGTGAGATAATGGATGTGTTAACAACTTCACGTATTGTGGGGAATGGGTTTTAATGAGCGAACAAAATTGAATGTGAGTGTGTCAAGGTGTGAGTAGGGTAGTTTTGATTGTTGATTGTATTTTGTGGTTGTTTCAATGGTAGGTGGTCATATAGATGTTAACAGTTTCACGTGTTGTTTGTCTGTCCGGTTGTGTAAACATTTTGGGTAATATGGTAGAGAACTGAACAATAATGAACCATACAATGGGATTGGTAATGTGTGTATGTTTGATTTTTCGCTTTTGTGGCTTCTATTTTATTATGTGTGATGGCTTAACATATTTGAATGCAGAAGCTGTTAGGCTGTCGAGTCCGTGGACACGGTCGTGTGAGCGCAAAAGGAAATACGCAGAGGAAGCGTCGACATCTAAGAATGTGGGAGGTAAATTGCAAGGGAGCAACCTATTCGTACAACCGAAAACTGTGGCTCGTTCGGGTGGTGCTGATATGCATACAAAACAAAGATTACATTTCCGTTCCAACATGGCAGGTGTGGTGAAAATGGTGTACGCAATTAAGTTGAAAGATATGCACCTCGTTCACTTGCGGAAGACACCATTCTGGTTATTGTTCGAAGCAATACTCATAAATCAGTTGGACTACAACGAATTCAGAAAATGTGATGATTTGGTAGTTAGCATTATTCGGACTTACAGTGTACGAGCAGGGATGTTTGTGATTGGTGGGCGTAGTGTGGATTTCACCGATGTGGATGTGAGGCTTTTGTTTGGGTTGCAATGTGGGGATGCGTTCTTAGACTTTACACCCCGTTCTAGGCCAACATCGGATTTTGTGCAACGAAGGTGCGGTGATGTAACTCGCATTACAACAAAACTTGTTAGGGACTTGTTAGTTGATGCATCAGAGGGTGATACGCATACTGATTATGAGGATACAGCAAAGCTGCTTTGCTTGTATGTTTGTGTGAAGTTGTTTTTTTCAACTTCAGGAGAAAACGTTAGTTGGAATTTTATTCGGTATGTGGACAACCTGGATGCCATGAAGTTGTACGATTGGACTGGTGCGGTGCGTAGTATGTTGATGAGTTCCATTAGAGACTTCCATCGGACACCACATAAAGTGACCGGATGTGTTATTGCTTTACTGGTAAGTGTAGAAAATCGTTTATTACTGAGAATAATGATGTACAATATTTAATTTTAGGCTTTCGTTTGTTGTGTTGACTATTTTGATTTATTTTGCAGTATTGGTTATGTGAACACACATCCGTAGTGAAAGCTAACTCTGCGCACATGTTCCCCCGATTCCTGAAGTGGAATGTTAATGAATTGCTAGCAAGTGTTCGTGGTGTGAATTTGTCGGGCCCACTCAACTTTATGGTATTGGAATGTTAAACATATTAAGAACAATTGATTGTGTAACATGGTGCATGTGGTGGGCTAACATGACTGTTATGTGTAGGTGAATCCAAGACAGCTTGTTGCTGCTGAGCATGAAATGTTTATATTGAGAGGGGATGCTATGGTTGCCAAAGATTGTTTGGATGTGTCAGCTAGGGAAGGTGGGTGTGATGGATGTGGCAAAAATGAGACGGAAGGGTGTAAGGTGGGAGCAGATGGTGGAAAGAAAGTTGCTGATAGCTCTAATACGAATAGTGAAGATAGGGGGAATCTGCCTGAGACACCAAAAATGTGTGGACAAAGCACGATGTTAAGACCAGATGTATTATGTGGTGGGGAACAGTTGGGTTTCCAAATCGGCACGGGCAAAATCGTTGGTGGGGTGGGAGGCCGATTAGTCAGTTGTGATCGAGTTGAGTCAGACGTGAATGAGTTTGGAGTGAGCAACATTGACAAAGATGACGTTATCGCAAAGTTGGAAGAAGAAGTTGTTCGACTGAAGAAAAAGAATGATATACAGGCAGTACATATTGTTGAAGGTTTTGAGAGTGTGCTTAGGGTAAAAGATGAAGAGAAGAAGAAACTTCAATTAGAAAATGCTAAACTGAGGCAAACTGTTGCCATTCTTGAAGAACAATTGGCGGATCAAGCGGTACACAATGTGATGCAACGGTTTAAGGTAGGGGACTTGGGGCATGAGGGTGGCGTGGCTGGCAAGGGTGGTTGCGAGTACGAATCACATGGAGGGAAGCAACATAGCATGTCGGCATATGCGGAGATTGTTGTGGATGCCTCACCCGTAACATCTATCCCAGCGTCGTCAAAACACATCGACAGTGGTGTGATTGCAGATGTTGTGCAGTGTGCCAAACATCAAGTGGTTGTGATCAACCCGATAAGTGCAGAAGGTGGGCATGTGGTTGAAGCTCCAAACTCGTTTGTGCGTAGCATTAAGGAGAAGGTACGAAAAAATTTGCAACTGCCAGAATTTGATTATCCGAAATTACGAGTGCAGCAGCGAAAGGTGAACAGTAATGCTTGTATGTTGCCAAACAACGTTGCCGGTGATGGTATGGGGGATGTAATGGGTGGGAAAGTAGTTGACGTGGAGACAGCAATTGGGGGCGGCAGCAAGTTCTCTGGTTTTGGTATTAACAACAAGCATACTGTTTGGAAGATGATGACGGAGCAGGAGAAGGGCATTATTAGCTCTGCGTATGATCGATACGGTGATGGGTGAGTGGGTTTTTTGGTTTATTTGTGTAATTATGTTTTTCCCATTTTTGTTACGGATAGTTTTGTGTTAGCATTTATGTAACGAGTTGTGGTAAGTTGATGGGTGTTTTGTTGGGATGTGTGCAGTGCTTTAATGTGGATTGGCCGAGGTGACGATAACGCAGTTTATTTTTCAGATGTGAAAGCGATTGTCCGACAAGGTGTTGTACGTGGGAATGTAAGTTATAATGGTTATGAGTACGGTTTGTTATTTGTAGTTTCGTGTTGGGGAAGTCTTATGCAGTGTGTGTTACATGATAGTGGTGTTATGTGTGTGATCAACGTGTATGGTGGCAGGTTATTGATGCATATGCGGAGGTGCTTTCCGATGAGCAAACAAGGTTGAATGCCGGAAAAGACTTCCCAGAGAATTCATTTTTTTTCAGCAGTATATGTCTGGTCAGTGCGTTGTGTGTATGTTTGTGATTGTGTTATTATGTATGTGTTTCATCAAGGTAACAAATGGTGTGTGGTGTGCAGGATATGATGAAGAATGACAATGTGGCAGCACGTAATAATTATGTAATGAGTAACTTGTCTGCTGCAAGAGGCGCTCGTTATATTCATTTTCCCATTTGTCACCTTTTCCATTGGACGCTTGTTGTGTACGATACGAATGTTGGAAGCTGGAAGCATTACAACTCAATGAGGCCTAGGAATGGAACAGGGGGTGCGCAATATGCCGAAGCTATGCACGTGGTAAGTATGTGATGGGTAATATTTGAATAACTGAATGGTATAGTAGTTTTAAGATATGGAGTTGTGTGATGTGGTACGTTTTTCTTGTAGAAAAATATTGTGACTGAGGTACAGCGTCAATCATTGGTTGAACGTGGTATGGATGATCTCGTGGCCACGCAAGATTTCGATATCCCGTTGGAATCAGTTGTTGATTGTCCTCAACAACGTCCTGAAGCGTAAGTTGAACGGAAATGGGTGCACTTGTTAATGTGCATGTTTATTTAAAAACATATATGTATTACGCCTTTTTTTTGTATTTTAATTGCTACAGGTTGGATTGTGCAATAATAATGTGCGCTATAATGAGGCAGCATGTGCATCACATTGAAGTGGGGCGATCATTGCAAGGAGGTAACTGTAGTGTATTACGTGCTAACATGGTGAAGTTATTTGTGAATGACCTGGAGCGTGGGATAGCAAGCAGGGGGGCGTGAGGCATGGTTTGAACTGACACTATTGTTGCATCTGTTTTAGTATGATATTTTGTGATTAGTTTACATTCTTATGGAAGTATATTGGAAGAATTAGGATTTTTGGTGTGTTGAAATGGTTTTTGGGTTTATTCACGTTGAAACGTTGTTAACGTTTGTGTTTTGTGTTACTATTGTCGTATCTATTTTAGTATTATATTTTGTAATTAGTTTACATTCTTATTGAAGTACATGGGAAGAAGTAGGATGTATGGTGTGTTGAAATGGTTTTTGGATTATTCACATTGGAACGGTGTTATCGTTTAGGCTTGTGTTTGGGGATGTTTGTGCATGTGATGTGAATAAATATCAGTAATTACCTGTGTGTTAATGTTGTTTTGGTTTGTAATGGAAAATAAAATACATAAGTCCCTTAGGCGTGTGGTACACAACAAAAAGAATACATGGGTAGTTTGGTTTCCCATTATTGTGTTGTGTTTTGTAGGAACGGAAGTTGGTTGTTGGTGTACATGAAGTGGATTTCACACAAAACAATGTGGCCATGGCAAACAAATAGGATACGAAATTAATTCATAGGAACTAACACTATTGTCGCATCTGTTTTAGTATGATATTTTGTGATTAGTTTACATTCTTATGAAAGTACATTGGAAGAATTAGGTTTTTTGGTGTGTTGAAATGGTTTTTGGGTTTACTCACATTATTTTGTTGCTAACGTTTACAGATTGTATTTGGGAATGTTTGTGATTGGGATGTGGATAAGTATCAATATACACCTATGTTTTAAGGTTGTTTTGGTTTGTAATGGACAATTTAAAGCATAAGTTTCGTAGGCGTGTGACACGCAAAAAACACAATGCATGGATTGTTTGGTTTCACATTAATGTGAAATGTGTTGTGGGGACGGAAGTTGGTTGTTGTATGTGTACATGCAGTGGATTTTGCAGTAAACAATGTGTCCGTGCAAACAAATAGGATGCAAAATTATTCGAATGTGCGAGGTTTTAATTTGGACGTTAGTTTGTCATCGTGTTTTGAATGGAGTGTGGACACCCACTGACCGAGAAAATGACTGTGGAGTGATTTATTTGAAGAATGGTGTGTGTTAGTCAAAGGTTGAGAGTTAGGATGGTGGGGGTAAGGGCATTGGGTAAGTGTGGCTGTGTGTGAACTGTAATGTCACGTCCCGTATTTTATTACTCGGATAACATTATCAATATTCATTAATTAAGTCCATTTACAAATATCAATTCATCATTTGATGAAATGATGAATAATTAAATATACATGTTCCCTCTCGTGATACAACAATGCCATTTATATACCAATAAAAGAAATGCCCTGAGGCTTACAATAAATAAGAGAGCATTGCCCTTTACAAAGAAAAGAACTCAACCAAAGAAACAAATAAAAAACAATACGGCTCATCATCACTTTATAACCATGCCAAGTTGTTTGATCCTCAAATTTGAAAACATTCCCTGCACACATGTACAGGTAGGGGTGAGCAAACCATTAACTCACCAAACAATCTCATTATTATAACATTATAAGTTATGCAAGTACAAAGATACGTATACATATACGGAAAATCATATCATGTCAAAAACCATATGATTTTATTACGTAATCTCTCAAATCCAATTTATTTAATTAACCATAACAAGTTAACTTAAATAAATAAACATGCTTCAATAACCACAAGACATCCCTTTCAATTTATTTAATTACCCCATTGTCAATTGAATCAAATAATTAAACAAATTCATAATGACATCTAACAAAGCATCAAATTCATTTTATATAATCTTGTGAGATGAATACATATGTGTAGACACCCCATTTTTGACCGTCCTCAAGACTTGGACGTCACCGTTGGAACACTTGGTGATTACCCTTGTTTGTGTTCGTTTGGAGTTCTCGGAGGTCTCGGCTACGCGCCTTGCCTCAGGATCTCCGAACTCGACTGTTTAGTGTCTGGTTTTGCACCAAACACTTGTGTTTTGCCTTGGAGGGGCAGGGAATGCCTTGAGAGGCATCCCCACACATCACCGGCCATGGCCAGAGGCCACCGGCTGGTGTTTTGATGCCATCGGCAATGTATATTGCCGATCGGCATTATTTGTTGCCGGTCGGCACTCCATTTTGCCAAAATGGCAATTTTGAGCAGCCGACTATTGTTCATCTGCTTTTGCAGATATTTTAAAACATATTGCATAGAATATGCTCCTGTTTCTTGCATAGAAAATGCTCGTATCTTTTGCATAGAAAATGCACTCTTCCATACTTGCATAGAAAATGCACCTCATTTGCATAGAACATGCATTCACTCGCACTATCTTGTGCACTTACACTTTGTATCTCACTAGCACTGTCTTGT